TTAATTATAAAATATATTTTAATATAAGTGAATTCAAAACAAATTATGCTTATTCATTAATCTTATTGCTAAATATTTAAAATTTGTTATGAATAATAATTAGTGGCTTAATTAGTGGATGTCAATATTCATTATCAATCATTACCATTTATATTTCCATTATGTATTATTCCCTTTATTGTGTAATTGTTCAGTTACCACATATACTTATAAATAGGTTAGTCTTCTCCCAAAGATAATATACCAGACAGATTCTTTTCTCCATCTCTTATTATCTTGTTTATTCTCTTAACTTTTTCTGAATTTTCTTGAAGAATGTCATATTTTTCAAGACAAATATTTCAAGGTTAGCTATTCATTTTCCATAATAAGAATTTTATCAAATATTTGTATTGTTTATGTTGTTATGAATCAAAGTACTCTTGAAGACATTATAGTAGTCTTGAAGACACTATTAAATAAATAAATTCTTTATACATTTTTGAAATCTGTCTATAAGAATAAGATACTATCAAAGAATAATGTTCAACCTCTTTTACTTTATTATTTTTTTTTCCTCACCAGAAGTGAGAAATATCAATGTTTCATTGACGTAATATATTTTGAAATCATGTTTTTCATATTATGTATTTGATAAAATATCTTTTTCATGATTGTGAAATTTATTTTAATACAACTGATTTTCAAGACAAAAAAAATTATTATAAAAATATTTTTATAATGTTCTAGAAGACATTATTAAATAAAGATATTTTAAGATTTTTTTCTCTCATCAGAAGTGGGAAAATAGTGAGAAAAAAAAATGAAACCGAAAGAACGAACTTTGTTTTTTTTTTTAAATTGAATGATTCTCTGTGAATGATATGTGTTGTAAAATTTTATAATTCTCCATGAATGTTATATATATACACATATAACGATTTTGCAATGATCTAGAAGACATTGTCAAATTAAGAAATTTTAAGCATTTTTTTCTCACTAAAAACGAGATAATTGTGCAAAAATAAAAAATAAAAGAATATTTTCCTCACCAGAAGTGAAAAAATAATATGAAAAGTGAAAAATAAAATCAATTTCACCATAAGTGAAAATTTTGATATAAATATATTATATTGTATTTGGTCCTTTGATATAAATGAGGTCATCACCGGAAGTGAAATAATTTTGTAAATTTCATAATTATAATGTTGAATAATATTTGAGGCACTTATAAAAATTATGACTAGAAAAACGTGTCCTTAAGCCTATTTAGGTTTTGTGTGATTTCTTGAAAAGATTATGAGTTTTCATACATCTGTAATTTGATATTCTTCATGATTAAATTGATTGAAACAAACAACTTGTCATGTAATTGAACTCATGTGTTACGTTATTGAATCTTAAAGGATTTGGTTTCAAATCCTATTGATATAATTGATGTCTAAAGATACATAACAAGAATGTCATTTTTATAATGATTTCTCGATTTGAAAAATATATTATATTTTTCATACATCTATTTTGCTCCAGAAGTAGCAATTTTTTTTTATAAAAGAAAAATGATTAAGAAATATCCTTAGTTGGTGTATTGACTAAAACAAAATATTGAGAATTTTTATGCAAGAGACCATTTTAACTAACATTATTTCATTCCCTAAAGTGAATGTTCTAATGTATTAATTTTTGTCTTCTCATATTCAATAATGCAAGAAATTAATGTTATATGATACTACAAATATAATTGAAGGCTCCATAAGAGCTAATATATTATTACTGAAAGAAACGAAGCTGCATATTAAAAATGCATTATATTTTTCTATGTGGACATTTATTGAAGAACCGGGAGATTCTTCAATTAAATATTTTCTCATGTACTGCTTGTTCCCAAAGGAAGTTGATAATCAGATCATCACCAACAAAAATTGGGGATGAATCTATCTTATTTTTAGAACGGATACAAGGTGATATTTGTGGACCAATACACCCCCATGTGGACCATTTAGATATTTTATGATTTTAATTGATGCATCAACAAGATGGTCACATGTTTGTTTATTATCAATTCGCAACCAGACGTTTGCGAGATTATTAGCTCAACTAATTAGATTAAGAGCTCGTTTTCCTGACTGTCAAATTAAAAAAAATTTGTTTTGATAATGCTAGTGAATTCACATCTCATTCTTTTAATGAGTTGATTTTCCCAACATTAGGGGGAGAACACAAATAGCTAGAAAAAGATATTAGCTGAAATGAATTATCACTATCTCATTTTGATCCTCGTTCAAAACAATGTGAACTAGAAGTTCAAAAGATAATTAATTTGCAAAATCTAGTCAACCAATTACCAAATGTATTCACAGATCAAAAAAGGGTGACTAAGTCATATGTACTAGCGACTAATGCTCTAATAAGAGTCGAAGTCCCTGTTGGATAATTTAATACTACAAACGAGTGACAAATACGCCTGAAGCGTGGTAGACCAATTGATTCAAAGGATAAGAATCCTCGAATAAAAAAGGGAGCTAAAGAGCAAAATGACCAAATTGAGGATGTAAAAACTCAAAAAGATTTCTCTGACATAACTAATATTCCAGTTCCTGAAGAAACTCAGGTACCTGAAATTATTGAAAATGAAGAGATCTCAATAAATTATGTCATGAATGAAATATGATGGAATCAAAACAATGTCAATATTGATGATGTGTTTGCATATAATATAGCGCTAAATGTAATAAATGATATTGAGAATCAAGTACTAAAGTCCATTAATGATTATCGACAAAGAAATGATTGGCCAAAATGGAAAGATGCAATTGAGGCAGAATTAGACTCACTTGCTAAACGAAAAGTTTTTGGACCGGTACTACGTACACCAAAAGGTGTAAAACCAATTGGATACAAATGGGTTTTTGTGCAAAAACTTAATGAAAATGGTGAAATTGTGAGATACAAAGCAAGACTAGTTGCTCAAGGTTTTTCACAAAGACCCGGTATTGATTTTGAAGAGACATATTCACCTGTAGTGGATGCAAACACTTTTTGATATTTAATTAGTTTGGTTGTACATGAAAAACTTAATTTACATCTAATGGATGTAGTTACAGCATATTTATATGGCTCTCTTGATGCTGACATTTATATGAAACTCCCAGAAGGATTTAATTTGCCTGACGATGCAATTTCTAGAGAAGATTATTCGATCAAATTGAATAAGTCCCTATATGGGCTAAAGCAATCAGGTCGTATGTGGTATAATCGACTAAGTGAATACTTGTTACAAGAAGGATATAAAAATGATCCAATTTGTCCGTGTATATTTATAAAAAGATCTGAAAATGGATTTGCCATAATTGTAGTTTATGTAGATGACATAAACATTATTGGAACTCCTGAAGAGCTTTCAAAAGCAATAGATTGCTTAAAGAAAGAATTTGAAATGAAGGATCTAGGAAGGACAAAGTTTTGTCTAGGATTGCAAGTTGAATACTTAGAAAATGGAATTCTTGTGCATCAAGAAGCTTATATAACAAAGGTGCTTAAAAGGTTTTATATGGACAAATCACATCCATTGTGCACTCCCATGGTTGTAAGATCTTTAGATGTTAATAAAGATCCATTTAGACCCCAAGAAAAGGATGAAGAAATACTTGGTCCTGAAGTACCATATCTTAGTGCTATAGGAGCACTAATGTACCTTGCTAATTATACACGACCTGATATAGCATTTGCTGTTAATTTGTTAGCAAGATATAGTTCTTCACCTACACGAAGACATTGGAATGGAGTTAAACAAATACTTCGTTATCTTAGAGGTACAATGGATATGGGGTTATTATATTCAAATGTTTCCAAACCAGAACTAAATGGTTATGCAGACGCAGGTTATTTGTCGGATCCTCATAATGGTAAATCACAAACAGGATATTTGTTCACAAGTGGTGGTACAGCCATTTCATGGCGATCTGTAAAACAAACCATATCAGCCACTTCATCTAATCATGCTGAAATTTTAGCATTACATGAGGCAAGTCGTGAATGTGTTTGGCTAAGATCTGTGATTCAACACATACGGGAAACTTGTGGTTTATCTTCTGGAAAAATGACATCGACAGTTATATATGAAGATAATGTTGCATGTATTGCACAATTGAAAGATGGATACATAAAGGGAGATAGAACAAAGCATATTCTACCAAAATTCTTTTTTACTCATGATCTTCAAAGGAATGGTGATATAAATGTTCAACAAGTCCGCTCAAGTGACAACTTAGCAGATCTCTTTACAAAGTCACTTCTAAGAATTTTTTTTGAACAATTGATACACAAGATTGGACTCCGTTGTCTTAAAGATTGTATGCATGAGGGGGAGAAATAAATATTTATGAATGATGTACTCTTTTTTCTTCACTAGGTTTTTATCCCACAGGATTTTTCCTAGTAAGGTTTTAGCGAGACACATTCTAAATATTGGACATCCAAGGGGAGTGTTATGAATAATAATTAGTGTCTTAATTAGTGGATGCAATATTCATTATCAATCATTACCATTTATATTTCCGTTATGTATTATTCTTTTTATTGTGTAATTGTTCAGTTACCACATATATTTATAAATAGGTTAGTCTTCTTCCAAAGATAATACACCAGTCAGATTCTTTTCTCCATCTCTTATTATCTTGTTTATTCTCTCAACTTTTTCTCTCTTTTATAACAAAATTATAATTTTGAATTATCTTAATAAATAATAAATAACATTTTATTTATCTATTCTAAATAAAATATATATTTTTAATATTATTTTTATTTTAATACTGAATTAAAGATTAATGTCAAAATTTTTAAAAGTGAGATATTTAAATAATAATGTAAAATATGGTTTTTAATTTATTTATTTAATTAATTACATTTTTTAAATTTAATTACAATTTAATTTTTTAATTAATTATAAAATATATTGATATTGATCCATTGATCTGAGATTTCGTTTGGCTGCGGATAGAGGAGCAATAAATTTTGAACCGGACAGCGGACGCGCAAGTTGAAACGAGAGTGAAAAGTCGAAAAGAAAGTGATTCGGTGACGTGTCGTACCGACAACGATATAAAAAGCCAATCAGCCGTTTGGCCATTTTTGATTTTTGACTTCAATAGTCTCCACACTTCTTAGGGCGGGAACCCAACATTTCACACCCCTTCCCCTCTGCATGTCCCTGCTTCTAGGGTTTCAAATTCTCTCTTCACCTTTCAATTTTCTCCATGAATCATCGCAGGGGCTCCAAGGTTTGGCTCGAGGACCGGGATTCGGCCTGGGTGGCTGCTGAGGTTCTCGATTCCGACGCCAACCGTATCTTGCTCGCCACCGATTCCGGCAAGAAGGTGAGTGCATCACCGACTTTACTATCTCGTTGACTGATGCGTGCTGTTGTGGATTGAATTTACATTCCGCGGTGGTTGTTTTTGTTGTTGAATGCTGATGATTCCAGTTTGCGGTGGCGCAGGTTCATGCTTCGCCGGAGAAGCTGCTTCCGAGGGACGCGGATGAAGAGGAGCATGGAGGATTCGAAGATATGACGAGGCTAGCTTACTTGAACGAGCCGGGAGTGTTGTTCAATCTTCGGAGGAGATATGCGCTCAATGATATATATGTGAGTGTTGATAGATTGGTTCGAGTTGGTTGCTAGATGTTCAATTGCAGTTGAGCGTGGGTTTAGGATTTGACTGTTATCAATGTAGATGGATAAATGAAGTTCTCTTATGGAACTATTGTTTTTCGTTTTTAGTTCAACTGTACAAGTATGATTATGTTCTGGTTTGGCTTACAAGCAAAATCAATTTCACACGCGCTTAGAATATTTAACTGAAATTAATTTAATCGGACATTTCAATCATGCTCAATGGTTCAACTATAATTTTACACAAATTTAGGATCTATTTGAGTAAACTTCTTCAAAAGTACTTTTGAGAAGAAAAAATAGGAAAGAAAAATGAAATCGATTTTAAAATAAACTAGAATTAGCTTATGCATAAGCTAATTTGTAGAAGTTCTTATATAATTTTTCCTAAAAATTACATATTAGCTTGTGCATAAGCTAGTTTTAGCTTATGGAGAAACTTGTTTCATTTTTCTTTTCTATTATTTTTTTTCTTAGAAGTACTTTTGGTAAAGTTTATCCAAACAGACTCTTAAAACAAATAAACAGTGAGAGTTGTATGGCAATTGATATATAGGGTGTGTTTGATTTTTATTTTCTAAAATTGTTTTTAGTTTTTGAAATTGTGAATAAATCTCTGCAAATCAAGGGCAGCCACCTCTGGACTAGCTGACAAGGTTCCACCTACACCAAGTCCACCATGATACACACTATTGAGCTAGGACCACAAAACAGAACAAGAGGATGAGAGAATATCTCCTAGCTGTTTGCTTTTTTTTGGTTTTTTAAAACACTTGTTTTGGAATCAATTTTCAAAACTTAAAAGATTTTGGATGTGTAATTGATTGTTGAGTAGTGCTGAGTTGTTTTAGAAAACAGTTTTTATGAATGAATGAATAGGAAATCAAACAAATCCATAATATATATTATATAATTTCTTGGTACTTTTTTTATGTCATTATTTCTTTTGATTACGAGGAGTTGTATTGATGATTTTTTGATGACTGCTTGACTTAATGATTGGGTAGCAGTACTGGAATAATCAATTTAAAATCTATGAATTAGTATATATAAACTGTAGCATTTAAAACTTCAGTAGTTCAATTTCCTTTTTAGGGATTTCAGTGAATTAATTTTTCTTGATTTTAATGCTTGTGGGGTATATTAATTGTGAACAATTTTGTTTTCTATGCGGACTTTCATTTTAAGCTTTTTGTCTGACTTGTTTCTCTTTGCTAGACATATACAGGGAGCATTTTAATAGCTGTTAATCCCTTCACGAAGCTTCCTCATCTATATGATTCCCATATGATGGAGCAGTATAAGGGAGCTCCATTGGGCGAGCTTAGCCCACATGTTTTTGCTGTTGCTGATGCATCTTATAGGTTAGTGTGCATTTAATGTGTTTGTATCGTATTTGCAATTTTTTTTACTATTTGCTATTTGCCATATTATGTTGTGAATTAGTGAGATTTTGTTGGTCATGATTTAGAGCAATGATGAATGAAGGTAAAAGTCAATGTATCTTGGTCAGTGGTGAAAGTGGTGCTGGAAAAACCGAGACAACCAAATTGATTATGCAGTATCTTACCTTTGTTGGTGGACGTGCTGCTGGTGATGACAGAACAGTTGAACAACAAGTTCTTGAAGTAAACTATTCTTGAACTCAATCAATCATGAATTCTGAGATTAATTTACTTTTAAGTCTCATTTGCTATTTAGCATCAATATAGGATATGCTAATTTCACTTTGCTTGATTCAGTCCAATCCACTTCTAGAGGCATTTGGTAATGCAAGGACTGTTAGGAATGACAATTCAAGGTGCTTTTGGTTTTCTTTTTTGTATTTATTATTTTTTTTCTTCTCTATTGCTTGTGTCTTATCTTCTTTTCAATCATATGCAATGTTCTAGGTTATTTAATAAATAAGTTTGGTATTTTGTGTTTGGGCATCTTATGAACTGGTCCACTATTTGTACATATCCAGAGCATCCTAAACTGGAATGGAGTTTTATGGAAACAATTTGATGAAAACATGATAAAAAATGTGACACATTATTTCTGGTCAGGACCCTATCAAAAGGGGAATGATTGGAGAGGAATTCTTTATTCCTAATTTATTTATTTTTCTTTAGGTAGTTCTTAGGCTGATTGACAACATTGTTTTTTAGGGAATTTTCCTTTCCTTTTTAATATCTCCAAGTGCTTGTTTGGGGAAAAATATTTTCCAGGAAATAATAGCCTGTTTTAGTAAGCCCTTTATAAGTAAGTAATTATTTCTCCAATAAGCTAACCAAACACATGCCAAGTGTATTATATAATAGGGACCAATAGCTTGTAGTCTCGTACTATTTTAAATAAAAGAAATACAAAAATATGTTGATTTCATGGTATTTGGACCAATGCCAATGGGAAAACACAGCAAGTTATCTCAACAATCAGATGCCGTCCTTTGTTAAACACATATAAATACACACCTTAGTCCTTGTCCTTGGCTAGAAAAACTATTAACTTGTTCTCATAAATGTATTTTCTGAGGTTACAAATGTTGTTGACTCTTCATTGTTATTGTTGACATTTCTTTCCTTGAGTTTGTTCCCTTCTTTGGGTCCACTTCCTTATCTTTTGAGTTCGTGTTCACATCTTTACTCTACTCCTCCCTTCAATTGTATTTATAATACTAGTGTCTTGAAATGTCCATTCATATGTGGATGTTGGCTCAAGTGTCTCTGAAACATATGGAAGTATCAACTTAAGTATCCAAGTAAATTAAAACAACTTTTTGATTGGACATGTAAGGTTTGTTTGGGCAAACAACTTATTTAAGATATTATTTAATAAGTTTTTATGCAATAAGAACTTATATTATAAGTACTTAAAATTCAATAAGTTGTTGCATTTGGATGTACATGTTAACAAACACTTATACAATTTTAAAGTGCTTAGATGTATCATTATTTAAGCACTTATAAGATGTTATCTCATTTTAAAATTAAAAAATTACAAATTAAACTTTTACTGTAAATAAAATAAAAAATATAATAAGTAACTAAATAATTTTTAAAAATGACATTATACTTCACATTAATGTTAAAAATAATAAAAAATTACTAGTCACCATTCACCTAATTTTAATTTATAAAAATAAAAATAATAATAAAATATATGAAATCAATTAAATATATAATAATGGTTAAACATTAAGAATCATAAATTTTAAAAATTTAAAATTAATTATATATATTTTATAAAATCATAATTAAAAAAAATTGTATAAATATCAACAACAAAATTATTCCAGATGTGCTATTTTAGTAAAAAAAAGTTGAGGTAAGATATTTTAGGCTTTAGGGTGTATGGACTACTCATAAGATATTTATAAGTTTGTTCAAATACTTTCATAAGTGTTTGATTCATGTTGTACAAGTGTTGGGTGGTGACGTATTGTTTGACACTCCAAAACTTTCAAGAGGGAAGTGGTTGTGCTTCATAAAGATGATATAGATTCTTGAATATGAACATATTACATATGTGATGGACTATTCTGCTATTTGTATGTATCTTTTGGTTTTTTTGACATTATTTTATGTTTTTTTGTGCTCAAAGTATTTACAGTTACATCTGTAATGTACTCTTCTGTAGAAATTATTATTTCCCATACCCTCTCATTATTACTATGTTTTTTGGCTGCAGTCGTTTTGGGAAGTTTGTTGAAATTCAGTTTGATTCAAATGGTAGAATATCTGGTGCTGCAATTAGAACTTACTTACTGGAAAGATCACGAGTAGTGCAGATAACTGATCCAGAGAGAAATTATCACTGCTTTTATCAGTTGTGTGCATTTGAAAAGGTATTTAATTTCTTTTAAGGCCTTTTATATGTTTGTTTTTGGGGGTGGGGGTGGGGTGGGGTCAGTACTGCGACATAGTGCGATAGTTTTGCATTATGCATGTGCAGGCTATGATTTTCATATTATCATGGTCAGAGTATTAAGTGTTATAGTTTATAATTGGGATGCCTCATTTTAGGATGCAGAGAAGTATAAGTTAGGACATCCAAGTCTGTTTCACTATTTGAATCAAAGTAAAATCTATGAATTAGAAGGTGTAAGCAATGCTGAGGAGTACCTTAAGACGAGGAGGGCAATGGAGATTGTTGGCATCAGTCATGAGGATCAGGTGTAATATTGTTTACTTTATTGTAGATCTTGCTTTATTTGCTTGCTTTTGTTGTGTAATGGATAATTTTATTGATGACCAGTCCGTCACTTTTAGTAATCTCTTCATATATTCAGGAAGCCATATTTCGTGTCTTAGCTGCAATTTTACATTTGGGAAACATTGAATTTTCTCCTGGTAAAGAGCATGACTCGTCGATAATAAAGGATGAAAAATCAAGATTTCACATGCAGATGGCTGCTGATCTTTTCATGTAGGTGATTTATATATTTTTTATAATCTTGTGTATGTAAAATGAATCATAACATGGTTGAATTTCATTTGCTTCATAAGCATTTGCAGTTTTCCAGTCAAAACTCAAATACCCAATTTTTAAATCTACAAACATTTTATGACACTGATTTATTAATTTCTGGTGGTACGATCATGTATAGTATATAGACAGTGTATGCAACTAAGTTCTGATAGAAAAATAATGGAACAAATTATTTTCTGTATATAGCAATGATTAAGTAGTCTTAATGATGCATACAACATACCTACTTTGTATCATTTTAAAACAATTATTGACATCACAATGATAAATACTTGCAAGATTAAGTCTAAATAGTTATATATATCTGAGCAAGAAGTCCAATATGAATTTGAGTTTATCTATCAACAGGCTATGCTATTATTCTGTAGTATTGTAGAAATGGTAGGAATACTAAATGAATTGGATTATTGTTATTTTTCTTTAGGATGTAATGGCTGGTCATACTTTATTATTATTATTATTATTATTATTATTATTATTATCTTTTTTTTTTTAGATTTCCCCCCCTTTTCTAAACTTAATGGCTTAATTTTCTTAATTCACTAGGTGTGATGTAGACCTACTGCTAGCAACAATGTGTACCCGTTCAATACAAACACGCGAAGGAAGTATTGTCAAGGCCCTTGATTGCAATGCTGCTGTTGCTGGCCGTGATGCTTTGGCAAAAACTGTTTATGCCCGTTTATTTGATTGGTATACATGTGGTCAATTCAAAATTGACATATAGTTTTTTTATGCATTGTTTAGGGTGACAATGCTTTTTTGTTTTTGCTGTTGCAACAGGCTTGTTGATAAGATCAATAGATCTGTTGGACAAGACATCAATTCCAAGATACAGATTGGTGTTTTGGATATTTATGGTTTTGAGTGCTTTAAGGATAATAGGTGAGTTTCAATTATTTGTCACTTATAGTAGTTGTTCCCCCACTTTTGTGTGTATGTGGATCATGGAGAGTAGAAGTGAGTAGGTTGACTGTATATTTTACATTCTGGAACAGTCTTCTGAATGCTTGTCACTTTTCTGGAGTTCTTCTTTGATGTATATTCTTTTACTTCCGCTAGTAGGAGAATGCTTAATTGATTCTCATACTTTCATTAGTATTGTACATGGATTGTGTAAAGAATCGAGAGTTAGGAATAGGAATCTCTTCTCCAAGGGTTTCCCTTTTTCATTCGAACCACTGTACTGTTCCCACATAGGTTTACTAATCTGAATGCCTCCCCTCTATCCTAGTATCCTCTTATTTATAGATATGAGGAGTCTGGCCCATGATGTCCCTCTATTTAGTAACTACATTAATTCCCTTTATTCTATATCCTAACAGATGGTTTTTCTTTGTATTCCCATTATTAGATTTTTATTTGCCTGCAGCAGTTGTTTGTTGAATTGGTGACCTTTTCAATATGATTGTTTTGCTCATACCAATCACATTCAATTCCAACAGTTTTGAGCAATTCTGCATCAATTTTGCAAACGAAAAGCTTCAGCAACATTTTAATGAGGTATCCATGTATTATTATATTTGAATTTACATTCACCAAGTTTATCAAATGTTTTGTTGTCTTAATTTGAATTTGTTGTTTTTTCATTCTACTTTTCTTATAAATTCTATGTCTTGTCATTATTTCCAGCATGTATTCAAGATGGAGCAGGAAGAGTATGGCAAAGAAGAAATTAACTGGAGTTACATTGAATTTGTGGATAACCAAGATGTTTTAGATTTAATAGAAAAGGTTTGTATTTTATATTTTATTGCCTTTTTAGGTTGAACTAATTCTAAAGTGCATGCATCAAAATAGCCATGTATTATTTTACATTTTGCGTATATGATTGCTTGTTTCTTGCATAATATGTGGCATAAGGGAAATATAAAGGTCTGAAAATTTTATATGAAGAATTATGAACAAGTACATCAGGTTAGAGATACCGAAATTGCAAGAGGATCTGTACCAAGAAGGAAGCTACTCTGCTAGTCAGAAATATTTCAAAACCATTTTGTCTGATCCTATGCTGTAGATCTTATATTTGGAATTTGGATCTCTTACAAGATGTATTTTTGACGAATAAATTGGTAAGACATGGTTATATACAGTACAAATGACCATGATTATGGCAAAATAAAGTGATATAGTTTAATGTGGAGGTGCAATGCTTATGTATGCATGTTGATGGGGTGTAATCATTGTTTTCTCTTAATTCCAGTTTATATCTATGCCTTTAGTTTCAGTTTCTTGTAGACTTATTATTGCATTATTTTGCAGAAACCCATTGGTATCATTGCTCTGTTGGATGAAGCTTGGTATAGTTTGAGTTCTTCAATATGATTTGGTGTGTATTTATTTATATCTATTGCAAATTTAGCCTTCATCCTGAATTCCTTCTGGATGCAGTATGTTTCCAAGATCAACGCATGAAACATTCTCAACCAAGTTGTTTCAGCATTTCCGGTCTCACTCTAGGTTGGAAAAGGAAAAGTTTTCACAAACAGATTTCACCATTTCTCATTATGCTGGAAAGGTGAGTCCGTGTGTCTGTACTTTATCCTGCTTCAGACACATCTTGTGATATGATGTTACAATTTTTAAAGAGTTCTTCCACTGTTTTTATGCAGGTCACTTATCATACAGATTCATTTTTAGACAAAAATCGTGATTATGTTGTAGTAGAACATTGTAATCTATTATCTTCTTCAAAATGCCCTTTTGTTTCTGGTCTTTTTCCTTTGCTACCAGAAGAATCTTCTAGATCTTCATACAAGTTTTCTTCAGTAGCTGCCAGATTTAAGGTATGTAGATCTCCATCTTTTACATATTTTGTGTTTTCTATAAACTAAGGACATTATGACCCACTTGCATCGGTGTCTAAAGTTAAATATCTGAACATTAATTTCATGTCTGATCTTTTTTTTTTGGGGGGGGGGTGGGTGATGGGTTTCTTGTCTGTGTTCTCAGCAACAACTTCAAGCACTCATGGAGACCCTCAACTCAACAGAGCCTCATTACATACGATGTGTGAAACCAAATTCTTTGAATCGACCACAAATATTTGAAAATGCAAGCGTCATACACCAGTTACGCTGTGGGGTTAGTAATTTAGATGTTCTTAACCCTTGAATTGTAGCTTTCGAAAGAGATACACAAATTTCCAACATGTCTATTTTTAAACTTTGTTACCTTGGTTGCTGCTATCTTATTAGTTACATTATCAATGTTATGGCAATTGCTTTTTTAGCGAATGTTTCACAGAAGTACTTGATAGGATATATCTTGTAAGTTATAATTATGATTTTTTTGTCGTCGGTGAACAGTGGTAAGGTATAATTTATAATACTTCGTCATTTTTAATTTGTGCAGCTACATGCTTACATGTGTGAAAAACAAATAGTAGGCCTTATTCAAACTTTCTAGGAAATAAGCTAGCTGTGATTCACATGCTTATCTTCCAGATATACTTCCATAGTAGATTCTCATTTGTGGCATATCTCTATTTCATTCAGGGTGTCCTTGAAGCTGTTCGGATAAGTCTGGCAGGTTATCCCACACGAAGAACTTACTCAGAGTTTGTAGATCGCTTTGGGTTAATAGCCCCTGAATTTATGGATGGAAGGTGAGTTCATCATATTTATTTTTCAGAGGTACTTTTAGGCGTTTAATGACTATATTTTATAACTTGTATTCCCTGTTATTCTGTGTTTTTTGTTTGGCCAACATGTTGAGCTATATCTGTTCAAGAAGTTGATTTTGTTAGGCTTGTACTAGTATTCATCTATAATCTATAATCTATACCATCAATAAAGGCAATAAGCCTTTTTGGTGTACACATTTTATATCCAGTTTTACTACCCTTATAATTACTCTTTTGTAAATTTTTATTTTTTTGTAAATTCCACACTAAAGTTCACCCACATTCATCAATTAACCACCCAATATTTTTTTAATAGTTTTTTTTTTTTTTTTAAATCAGAGAAGCAATGAAGCATAGAGTGCCTCTTTTTCCCTAGTTTGTAATGGGATTCTTAGGCTAAAGTTTTATAATTTAACATCATATCTATATCATCTTATATAGAGTATTCCTGTTCTTTCTCTCCTACTTTATATACCTATTGAGATGGAATGAATGATTTTTCTTGTGTATTGCTGAGCGATTTGTACGTATGTTTATACATACAATGTCTGATTCAATCCCTAATGATCAAGCTATCTAAGAAAACTAGGATTATGATCTAGCTATCTCAATATAAAAGTGTCTCAAAATAGGGAAACAATAAAACAGGAACATAAAATTAAGATAACATCAAGATAGTAGCCCAACATATCTTAACATTACATAAACTTTATAATTTTAACAGGGTGAGTGTCAAGGGTTTGACTGAAGTTGAACCAGTCTTATCGAAGTTAAAATTGTCTGGGTTTTAGCGGCATGGGGTGGCACCTGGCTGCTGCAGAGGCCTCTTTAGCGGAGTGGTTGTGTTGTGGCTGTTGTGGGCAGGATAGCAGCACTGTGGGGTGATTCCAAAAAAGCCCTGACTAGAGACATTAGGGTTTTTTGAGGGGCTATTTTAGGGATTTCATTGTCAAAAAAATATTTGATATTTGGCTTGTAATGTTTTTGACACAGCCTTCATTTCTGTTGCCTCTTCTCAAACCTTCCTCCGCCTTTTCTTGTGTTACTCAACCTCTTAAACATTGCTGCTGCCTCTGTCTTGTCCTGTGGCTGCTGATGTCCCCATCAAGTGGCTCTACTCTCCAATGAGTGCTGCTCGTCTGATGCCTCTAGAAATGCTTGATTGCTTTATTGAACTCTGACAATGTATATTCTCTCTTCTCTGCATACAACTCTATAAAAAAAATTAATAACAGAGTCTATCTCGCTGTCTACTATCCTGTTATTGTGTTTTTGTGGCCAGAAGTTATGCAACCTATTAGGGATTTAAAACACTTGTAATTATATTTTCTAGTCAATGGACTTTTGACCTCGATGGATTTAGTCCCTACACTACTAATTTCCCCTGTTCTCAATTTTGAGGGAGAGAAGTGGGAGTCTTTGATAAACTCATGTAAAAACTGTTGGTGGTTCTCAGATTTGGTCCTAATTGACTGATTTACCTGGTTATTGAGCAGTTTTTTAAAGCAGTTCTAAAGAACTACTGGGCCATATGGATGAACCTGCTAATATGTTTTGGTTACAAAATATAACTTAGAATATGTGTAATTTTGTTGGAGGTTATAAATTTGTAATTTGCTGGACTGAGAAAGAAAAAGAAATAACAACTTGGTTTTACATCTGGTGCTTATTTGGTGATTATCATTTTATCATCATTCAGTAATGGAAAAGTCTTGGTTACTGAAAAATTTTATTCTTTTTTGGCATGGATCATTATTTTCTAATTGACATTCATTTTGAATGCATGTGCAAAAATTCAAGCTTCTTATTCAATTAAGACTGAATTGCTGTGTTTATAGTTATGATGATCAAGCTGCAACTGAGAAAATTTTGCAAAAGCTCAAGCTTGAGAATTTTCAGGTATGCTTTGTAGGAACTGTGTTTGCAGCTGTTGTTCAGACATATCAGGGATGTAAAAGCATTTGTGTGTTTATAATGGTTATATTTTTTGTCACTTAGTTGGGTAAGAACAAAGTATTTCTCAGGGCTGGCCAAATTGGTATTTTAGACTCGAGACGTGCTGAAGTTTTAGACAATGCTGCAAAGTGTATTCAGTGCCGACTGAGGACATTTATTGCACATAGGGATTTCATCTCTGTCAGAGCTGCTGCATTTTCTCTTCAGGCATGCTGCAGGGGTTAGTTTTCTTTTTTCCTTTTGCATTTACAACTGTCTACTACTCTTGTAAAAATTTTGGCTTTACTATTGCACTTAAGGTTGAGCCTTGATGCAATGGTAAAAGTTGCTGCCATGTGACTTGGAGGAGGTGGTTTCAAATCCTGGAAAAGTCTATCCACTTGCAGTGGTAAGGTTGCATGCATCTATCCTCCTAGGTCTAGAGGCTTGTGCACTGGGCCACATTTTTACTATCACATGGTCAACTCTCGTAAAGAGTCTGTTTGGTTCTAAGGAGAGAAGAGTTTTAATGGGAGAGGGGTGGGTGGGGGGTGAAGAGAAATTCTGTTTGATTGAAAGGAGGGGAGAATTTTAATGGAGGAAAGGGAAGGTAGCTCTTTTCTTGTTTGATTCACTAGAGGAGAGATTTTAAAAATCAATTTATTTTTATATCCTTATAATTTTTAATTTAGAAACACATGTAAGGATAACTTAGGCATTATATTAAAAAATTTTAAAACCCCTTCCTTCCCTTCCAAATCTCCCCAATATTAGAGAGGGGTTAAAATTGGATGAAGAGGGGTTTTGCTCCCTTCCATTCTCTTCCCCACCCACCTAGAAATTGAACCAAACAAAAAAAGTTTACAAAAACCCCTCCCCTCCCCTCCATTCTCCTTTAACAGAACACTATGTAAGACACTTAATTGTGTGGAATTACAAACAGTTTAAGGATTGACTTGTTCCTGATTTAATGAATATGGAAAATGAGTGGAATTACAAATTGTTGTAAAGTAGTGCTGAATTTGACATGGATTAATATATGATGGGTTAAATTGAATTGACTTCCGTATTCATAAAATTAGTAATAAGTGAATCCTTAACTTATTTCTTGATGCCAACCAATCAATACATTTATGATTCATTGGTTGGCTTCCTTTTTAAGAGCATCTCCAACGTGGGAGCTTACCTTAGTTCGTAGATTTTAAGCAACGACTCTTATCAAATGTAACCATTGGTGTTTGCCAGTTGACTTGCCTCATGTAATCACTTTCCTTTAAATAAACAACTGTCTCTAAGCTGATGAAGTGAATAAAAAATTGTATATCTTTCACAGAGAGCAGAAAAACAAATAACTAGGTAGAGAGGTTAACAAGAGAGGAAAGAGAAATAGCTTAAAAAGAAGGTGAATGTGAAACAAGTGGCCCCAAAAGAAAAAAAAATAATAAAAAATTACTGTTTTTAACATTATGTATTTTTAAATCTACTGTAAGTTTAACATAAAAAAGACTTAAATATATTTTTAGTTCCTCAAATTTAGTGTAATTTTATTTTTGATCCCTCAAATTTAAAACTGTTATTTTTAGTTTCTGTAATTTTTAAAAATCTTCTTTTAGTTTCTCATGTCATTAATAACATATCTGAAAGTGACAAATTGAAACAATTTTGTAGTATCAGTTTGGTTTAATGTGATGTTATCAGTAATAGAAACACTAGTAGATAAATTTTATGTGATAATATTGACAAATTCTCTAACAAAATTTGAGTATAAGAACTAAATTTTTTTTTTTGAAATTATAAGGACTAAAAAATCAATTGTAAAATTGAGGGACTAAAAACAAATTTACTTTTAATTTGGGGAACTAAAAACATATTTAAGCTTGTTAAAATGATTTTTCTTTTTCTAATTATTGGTTTTGGTTTAACATAATAAATTAACAAAAAAAATACCGTTTTTAAATATCATAAATTTGTACTTAATTTAGTTTAAAAATGTCATTTTCAATTTAACACAACAAATAAAATACATTTAGAGTAGTTTTTATATTTTTTAAATTTTATATTTATTATTTTAAAATAACAATTAAAGGAAAATAATATTTAAGTTTAAGTTAAAATATAATTTAAAGATGTATAATCAATTGTAGGCCTATAAAATTAAGTTAAGAACTCAAATAAAAATTTAGCATCAGAGTAAAATTTTGTAAGAGTTCTTAAAACTTACCTGGCATAATGGGGTTCACAAAAATAAGCTAAAAATCCACTTAAGCAACTAAGCATTGGAGATGCTTTAAGTCAACTCATTCAAAGTTGTTAGGAAGGCATGCAATACAAGTATATTGCATTCAAAGAATTAATGCATCAAATGTTAAATGCAATTATTTTTATTTTTCATAGGAATCATTCCCTTTGTTCCATATTGATCACGATTTAGCAAAATAAAAAGCTCCATTTTAATTTATTTTTATTTTTATTTTGTTTAAATGCGTTGTATAGATGATGGATAATCTAATTAATATGAAAGATAAAAGACATTGGGAAATTGCATAAATTTTTTTATGAATTCTAAAATATTAATTGCATTTTTTGATACATGTGCAAAAACTTTAAATGTCTAACAAAATAGAACAAAAGGAGTAGTATTTAGAAGTAGCAGCCATTCACTGTTTCCTAGTAAATAGTCTTTGCTTGGGCAATTTAGAGTCTATGATGGATCTGCTTGTTGAACTTTTTTTTAAAGAAAAAACATTTTTTATTTTTTTTATTTTACTACTTTTTTAATATGTTTGGGGAAGATTATAATCTCCCATTTCAACCTTTTCTTTTTTTCGAAAAAAAAGTTGTTTAGAAAAAAAGTTGCATGTTTGAAACAATATAAATTTTAAACAGTTTTTTTCCCCTAAAAATTTAGTTGTTTTTATGAAGCTGAAAATTTGAAAGTTACGATTATTTTTCAACAATTTTTTGTTTTCCTTCTAACTTCTTACAATAAGGACGAAAATGGGCAAAGTTAGACTTTGAAGATACAAGTTGGGCCTGTTCTATTAAATTAAAGCTTAAGCCTAATCTATTATTTATTATAGTTTTTTTTTTTTTTTTTTTTCTAAAGTCTATCCTAACTTTTTTAAAAGCCTAGTATGACATGTTAGTCTATTTTATGTTAATAATGTTAAACAAGCCAAAAAAATCTATTTGTATCCAAGTCTTTTTTTAAGTTGCGTGATAAACAAAAGTTTATTTTATTATTATTAAAATTTAGAGTTTAAAATAAAAAAATTAACATAAGAAGAATAACTTATGCGCACCCATGCATACTCACGCACAGGTGTGATGAAATAAGATAATTTTATATATTTTTTTATAAATATTTTTTATATTCCATTAGAAATATTCTAAATAACCAACTATGAAGATGAAAGAAAAGACAAAGTGAAAATGTAACTATTAGATTTTCTATTTTTTATTTCTTAATTTTGTATGAGAAGTATAACATCTAGGTGTAGTGAAAATGTAAAAAAAATATTAATAATTTGATTTTTTGTATTACAAATTTATTTATTTAATTATATTGTTAATAATGTAATATGTATATTATTCTTTTATTATATCATATAGATAAATAGACTGATCTATCAGATATAATAAATTTTTTTTATAAGTCAAAGTCCAGTCTTTTTATTAAATAGGTCAAGTTAGGCTAGATTTTAAATGAGCCAAGTCATAGGTCCCTTGGTTTTTTTTTTTTTTTTTTTTTTTTTTTTTTTTTT